CTTAGGGATGCTCGAAAGGCGGAGGGTTGAGGGGGTAGCAGGGGTTTGAGTTTTGGGCCTCCTCTGCGGTTTAGGGTTTAGGGTTTAGGGTTTAGGGTTTAGGGTTTAGGGTTTAGGTTCAAGTCGATAACTCTTAAATGCTAAACCCAGAGTTTCTGCAGACGAGGAAGAGGGGATAGCAAAAACACTAAGCCGTGGCGCCCTAAACCTTAACAATCCCGAGCTCCAACTTGTTGCTACCCGCCCTGCAGCTAGCCCAGCTCGCCAAAGGAGCCCAGCGTATAGTTCTTACTTGAGGTGGTTTGGGTTTCCTGGGTACCCTAGGCCCTAGTCTCTTGTACCCTAAACCCTAAACCCTGGACCCCCTAAACTCTAAACCGATTATGAGTTATGGTTGAAGGTAATATGGAAGCCGAAACATTGACCTCCATTGTTTCTCAGGGGTCCCTCTTGTCATTGTAGTATAATATACACCCCAAACCACATTCTGATTATTAAGACGCTGATACCAGAAAGTTTATCAAACGCCAAGTACTTCAAGGCCCTTACAGAAACCCTCAAATGAACACCAGTGTAACTGAAAACCTATGTGGGTAGTTTTCTAAATTAGGGTCCCTGTTGGGTCCTTTTCTTCATATGGGTGCCGTACTATTTTTAGGACTTTAACAGGGACTCTGATCTAGAGAACCACCCATATTATCTTCCTTAATTGACGCCTTCCGGGTTTTCTGCACAGAGAGATTCTTTAGTCTGTCGATGCCTCCTTCGCAAACTGCTTGCGGGTTTGGGGTGGGGGATTGCCCTAAACCCTAAACCCTAAACCCTAAGCCCTACACCCGAGAGCTTTAAGTCTGAGGTGTCGGGTCTGAGTCTTCAGAGCTGGTGGTTCTGGGGTCTGGTATTCAGAGTTTGTGGTTTGGGGTGGAGGCCGAAAGTGGGTTTAGGGTTTGGGGTTTAGGGTTTAGGATTTAGGAGGCCGAAAGTTTCTCGTTGTTCGGGCAAGCGGCTCACGTGAACCATAAAAGCCCGGAAACTCTCCAAACCACTAGATCCTCAAGCCCCAAACCCTAAACCCTAAAGCTCTAAGAACCCACAAGACAAAGCAGGTGATGGTAGTTGAAGGTGAACCCTACTTGCAGGATCATGCGAACACTCGGGCTACAGATAACCCTAGTTGAGGTACTTGTATCCTTACTTACTAGGTCTCATGGGCCTCCAAGCAGACCCTAAACCCTAAACCCTAAGCCCTAAACCCTAAACCCATGCCCTAGACAATCCTAAACCCTAAGCCCTAAATCCTTCGATAGCACCAGGCTTTCTGGGGTCTCAGCCTCTCAACAATCCGAATTTTGAGGGTGGTGGGTGTCAGTTCCGCCCTAGATCCTAAACCCTAAGCCCTAAGCCCTAAACCCTAAACCCTAAATCCTAAGCCCTAAATCCTAAACCCTAAGCCAAAAGCCCAAAACCCGAAAAGAAGCCAAAAGTCTAAATGCCTGAACGTTGCAAGTCGGACGCCAATCCCTCTGTCTGCAGGGCCCTGACAGCGAGTTAGGCCTAGACGTGTCCCATGAGCCCGGCGGCAAGGTGTCAGTGAGTGTCAGGGCGTCAGGTTTTGTGATTCTGGGCTTCGAGTAACCCTAAACCCTAAACCCTAAACAGGGCTTTGCGGCTTAGGGGTTTCGGGCTTAGGGTTCTATGGAGGTATCTGCAAAAAACGGGAACCCTAAACCCTAAACCCTAAACCCTAAACCCTAAACCCTAAACCCTAAACCCTCAACCTGAGGGTTTGGGGTTTTGACCTTCGTGGGTCCGAGGCTGTCAGGCTTCAACGTATTGAGGGCGGCCCAGAGGTTCTTGATTTTGGGTTTAGGGTTTAGGGTTTAGGGTTTAGGGTTTAGGGTATAGGGTTTAGGGTTTAGGGTTTAGGGTATAGGGTTTTGGGCTTCTATCTTGTGCACTATACGTATGACGTGCTTGGTGCAGGTGTTCAGAAGTATGCGCCGGTTTCAGGTTTCAGCTTTGGAGGCCTTGCGCTTTGAATATGGGTTCCACACAGCCTCAACTAGCATTGCCCACCGCCGCACTTGCCTCCATGAGCGATGTGGCACGTTCCGCTAATTGGTTTGTACTGCTATCAAACTGTGTACTTGTAATATGCATCAGCGAACAGCAAAGCGGAATCAGCTGCCAGTACATCGAAAGTCTGGTCCACACCCTAGCTAAACCCTACATTTCGAACACGAAACCCCGACCCAAACCCTTCTGGAAGTGGCTTCGGAAAAGAGCAGGACTTGGGCACTCGCATTGGAATCTGACTGCTGGGACCACCCCACTACCGTTCATCGTGGATAGAACCTGGCGCCGTGGGTTTTCCAGATAGAGGGATAGTCCCATTACTGCTGGGGTTGTGGGGAATTTGCATATGCCCGGAGTCTAAGAAGACTCCAAAAATCAAAGTTTGGGGTTTCGGAAGGCAAAAAAAAAAGCAGCTTGGCTTGACCCAGGCACTTTGGCTTCCGGGTGCCCATAATCGAACAAGGCTCCGAATCTGGTGTGGAAGCGGCCCCATCCCAAACCAGGTCTTAAACCCCTATACTGTAAGCTTGCCTGAACCCACAGACAGACTGCAACCCTGTTTCAGAGGCCTGAAACCTTGAACAACCCAGACCAGATGTGAGAACCGCATCCTAACTTGCTCGTGTGACTTTGCCGGCTTGCATCCTTCCAGCATGCAACTGGACCTAATCTTGTGCTCCGTGGTAGCTGGGGTTTAGGGTCTGGGGGTTAGGGATGGTGATGATGAAGATGAGGATCACAATATTCGTAGTGATGTTTGCGCCGCTGGTGGCAATGGCGGTGCAGATTGCAGTTGTAGAGCGCCCTAAACCCTGAAACCTGCGATGGTACGGTTGAGAAGTGACCTCCTGGGCAGGTGCTTCGCGTGGATGGAATTCGGCCGACCGGTGCGGTGAAGGCCGGCATTCTCAGGTTGAAGGTTTGTAATATTGAAGCTTAAATAATTACGAGTAGTATGTTGGAGCGTCCTTATTGGAATTATAGTCTTATACGCCCCAACACCCTATTCTAATTCTTGAGACGCCTACATTAGCTTCGGCTTGTTGCTGCTACAGCCACCCTGCAGTACGGCAGCATGCACTGAGTATTGCGACGACGACGACGACCCTGATTCTTCTCGCTGTCGTACAGTCTTCCGGGTTTAGCAGTGCCGTTTCGGCCTTTGTTTGATGGGGTAGGAAATTTGTGTTTAATGCACTGACTGATTTTTAATTTCTTGTCATTATGTCACTTTTTTTGCTATTGCGAGGGTTGATGGTGTTTTCGATGATGATGGTCACGAAGCTGTTGCTGATGCTGACGATGATGCTGTTGATCATGTTGCTGGAGACGAGAAGTGTGCTGATGAGGCTTCTGGCGCGTGCCGCTGATGGTGATGATGTCAATGCTGGTGATGATGCCACTAGTGGTGACAGTCATTGTTCGTTACCTCATTGATGATTCCTGCATTTGTAATGTTGATGATGCTGCTGTTTCTTCGCACTCTTCCAACGACATTTTTGGCACAGAGAGGGTGTGTATAAGCCTATAAGCTATACTGGATCGCCTGAGCCGATACCTTGCTTCCTCACTACCTCAATAGGGATCGTAAGAGCAGTTCTAACATCTGCACCCTTAAAGAAACTTACGTCCTGGAAAATCCTACAACAGCGACACCCTTGTAAGACTCGTACAAAGCCCGTGCAAATTCCGACAAAAACCTTATAAACAAACTTTGAAGAAGACTTTGAGAAACCCCTATGAAACCTGTACCAGCCGTTTAAATACCTATCAAGTTTCATGTTGTCAACAAACCCCTTTGCTGTAATGAGGACTATCATCGGGATCCTGATGTTGAGGCTATTCGATGAGTCAGGGGTATAGGGCTCTCCTCACACCTTCAACCCCCTGAACCCCTAACCGCAAGCCCTGAACCCCTAAACCCCTGAACCCTGAACCCTAAGCCCTAAACCCGTACCGACGTGCAAGCTCTAAGATGAGCGAGCCTTCTGCAGGAGAAAGGGGGCTAGTGCAATTTAAACACAAACCATTAAGCCTTAAAGCCGAACCCGATACCAGGGTCCCTTTCAATGTGAAGTGAACCCTAAACCCTAAACCCTAAACCCTAAACCCTAAACCCTAAACCCTAAACCCGAAACCCGAAACCCGAAACCCTACAACGAGGCCTGGAACCAGCAGTGCCTTGCGTCAGCGACTCCAGAGCAGGCCGTAGGAACAGGAAGTGGAGACTTGGGCTCACGGGGTTTAGGGTTGAAGGGTTGGGGTTTAGGGTTTAGGGTTTAGGGTTTAGGGTTGAAGGGTTAGGGGTTAGGGTTTAGGGTTTAGGGTTGAAGGGTTTAGGGTTTAGGGGTGAAGGG